GCGTCGCTGTTGTTGCCAAGTGCCATGTGGTACCCACCGTCACGGTCTTAAGACATTTAGGAAACCAAGTTGCGGGTGGGTGGGTGGGATGTTTGCGCGAGCAGTGGAGTGAACAACTCACTGCGAACAGAAACTAATTCTCCTATCTATAAAGGGAATAGACTCGACGCCCCCCCCGGACTTATCGGTTCCCCTTAGGATAATATGATTTCATATATATGCTGCACACTCGTCCATCCTAAATATGAAATCGTACCATCCCGGCTAGGCCGGTTTCCCCCCTGAGGTTCCCTTGTAAAAAAACAAAACCCTATGCGGTGAAATTGTTTGTTCTAACATAGCACATTTTCACAAATCCCTCGCAACGAATGAGACGAAGTGCGCACGCGCGCGTCGTCGCGCGCGCATGCCGAAATCCTTCAAAAACCTTCGGTGCGGGAAGGATTTCGCAATCTGGTTTCCAAAAAGCATACAAAAACCACAGGGTTTCGCAACACAGAGTTGCTAAAACAACTTCCGCGAAAGCTCTTGCGAAATCTCAAGAAAACGATAGGTTTTTCAAAATTTTCACAGCATGCTACCAAACGGGTTTCGCGCGCGCTCATGTCGAAATCTGTCGAACGCCCTTGCGCGTGTGCCGTCGCGAGAATCCTCTGCAACAAATGGGACGAAGTGCAAGCGCGCGCGTCGTCGCGCGCGTATGCCGAAAACCTTCAAAACCCATCGGTTTCGGAAGGATTTCAAAAATCGTGCGTCCAAAAAACCTAAAAAAAACCTAAGGTTTCGCAACTTGGATTTTCAACAAAAGCGTGCGCGCGCGCGCTCTTGCGTCGTCGTCGTCGTCGACGTCGCCGTCCTCCCTCCTCCCGCGTCGTCGTCGTCGTCGTCGCCTACGTCGTCCTCTGCCTTTCCTCGTGTTCGTCGTCGTCGTCGTCGTCCTCTTTGGCGTCGTGGTCGTTTCCGTCGTCGTTGTCGCCGTGGTCGTCCTTCCTCCTCCTCCCTCGTCGTCGTCGTCGTCCGTCGTCGGCGTCTCGTCGTCGTCCCTCCTATTTCGTCGCCGTCGTCGTCGTCGTCGTCGTCGTCGTCGTCGTCGTCGTCTTCCCTCCTCCCTCGTCGTTGCCGTCGTCGGCGTCGCCGTCCTTCCTCCTTCTTCGTCGTTCGCGTCGTCGCCGTCCTCCCTCCTCCCTCGTCGTTGTCGTCGTTGTCGCCGTCGTCGTCCTCCCTCCTTCCTCTCGTTGTCTTCGTTGGCGACGTCGTCGTCGTCTTCGTCGTCGTCGTCGTCGGCGTCGGCGTCGTTGTCGTCTTCGTCGTCGTCGTCGTCTAGTCGTCGTCGTCATCGCCGCTGTCGTCGTCGTCGTCGTCGTCGGCGTCGTTGACGTCGTCGTCGTCGTCGGTGTCGTCGTTATCGTCGTCGTCGGCGTCGTCATCGTCGTCGTCGTTGTCATCGTCGTCGTCGTCGGCGTCGGTGTCGTCGTCGTCGTCGTCGGTGTCGTCGTCGTCGTCGTCGTTGTCGGCGTCGTCGAAGTCGTTGGAGACGTCGTCGGTGTCGTCGTAGTCGTTGTCGGCGGCGTCGTCATCGTCGTTGTCGCTCTCGTCGTCGGCCTCGCTGTTGTTGCCAAGTGCCATTTGGTACCCACCGTCACGGTCTTAAGAGATTTTGCAAACCAAGTTGCGGGTGGGTGGGTGGGATGTTTGCACGAGCAGTGGAGAGGACAGCTTCAAAACGGTCAAAATGGATTGCACCATATAGATTGCACCACATGTATTGCACCGCAGATATTGCATCGCATGTATTGCATTGAATAGGTTGCCGCGGGTCAATTGCACCGCATGCGTTATCCTTTCTAGAAAGAGAATAGACTCTACCCCCCCCGGACTTATCGGTTCCCCCCGGGGATAGTATGATTTCATGTATATATACACATATATGTATATATGTATATATATGTGTGTATATATATATATATTTATATTATGCACACTCGTCCATCCTAGATATGAAATCGTACCATCCCAGCTCGGCCGGTTTCCCCCCTGAGGTTCCCTTGTAAAAAAACCCTATGCGGTGACATGTTTTGTTCTAACATATCACTTGTTCGCGAATCCCTTGCAACAAATGAGACGAAGTGCACACGCGCGCGTCGTCGCGCGCGCATGCCGAAATCCTTCAAAAACCTTCGGTGCGGGAAGGATTTCGCAATCGAGTTTCCAAAAAGATACAAAAACACATGGTTTCGCAACACAGAGTTGCTAAAAAAGCTTCCGCGAAAGCTCTTGCGAAATCTTAAGAAAACCATGGTTTTTGAAGCTTTTCACAGCATGCTACCAAACGGGCTTCGCGCGCGCTCATGTCGAAATCTGTCGAACGCCCTTGCGCGTGTGCCGTCGCGAGAATCCTCTGCAACAAATGGGACGAAGTGCAGAAGCGCGCGTCGTCGCGCGCGTATGCCGAAAACCTTCAAAACCCATCGGTTTCGGAAGGATTTCAAAATCGTGTGTCCAAAAAACCTACAACAACAAAAGGTTTCGCAACACGGATGTTCAACAAAAGCGTGCGCGCGCGCTCTTGCGTCGTCGTCGTCGTCGCCGTCCTCCCTCCTCCCGCGTCGTTGTCGTCGTCGTCGTCGCCTACGTCGTCCTCTGTCTTTCCTCGTGTTCGTCGTCGTCGTCCTCTTTGGCGTCGTGGTCGTTTCCGTCGTCGTTGTCGCCGTGGTCGTCCTTCCTCCTCCTCCCTCGTCGTCGTCGTCGTCCGTCGTCGGCGTCTCGTCGTCGTCCCTCCTATTTCGTCGCCGTCGTCGTCGTCGTCGTCGTGTCGTCGTCGTCGTCTTCCCTCCTCCCTCGTCGTTGTCGTCGTCGGCGTCGCCGTCCTTCCTCCTTCTTCGTCGTTCGCGTCGTCGCCGTCCTCCCTCCTCCCTCGTCGTTGTCGTCGTTGTCGCCGTCGTCGTCCTCCCTCCTTCCTCGTTGTCTTCGTTGGCGACGTCGTCGTCGTCTTCGTCGTCGTCGTCGGCGTCGGCGTCGTTGTCGTCTTCGTCGTCGTCGACGTCGGCGTCGTCGTCGTCGCCGCCGTCGTCGTCGTCGTCGTCTTCGGCGTCGTTGACGTCGTCGTCGTCGTCGTGTCGTCGTTATCGTCGTCGTCGGCGTCGTCATCGTCGTCGTCGTTGTCATCGTCGTCGTCGTCGGCGTCGGTGTCGTCGTCGTCGTCGTCGTCGTCGTCGTCGTCGTCGTCGTCGTTGTCGGCGTCGTCGAAGTCGTTGGAGACGTCGTCGGTGTCGTCGTAGTCGTTGTCGGCGGCGTCGTCATCGTCGTTGTCGTTGTCGCTGTCGTCGTCGCTGTTGTTGCCAAGTGCCATGTGGTACCCACCGTCACGGTCTTAAGAGATTTTGCAAACCAAGTTGCGGGTGGGTGGGTGGGATGTTTGCGCGAGCAGTGGAGTGGACAACTTACTGCGAACAGAAATTAATTGCACCACATAGATTGCACCATACAGGTTGAACCACATATATTGCACCGCGTCGATTTCATTACGTAGGTTGCATCGCATACGTTGCACTCCATCGATTGCACCGCATAGGCTGCAAGAACCTACTGTCTGGGGTCCACGCTGACTGACACTTTTTCTTGGGGGGGGGAGCGGGGTTTGCCTGGGCCGCCCTGGTCTTTGGGATTATGAAAAGCGACCCGGGGTGACACACCAGCCTCGCGGCCTGCGCAGCAGCGATGGCAGCGACGTCACAATCTCCCTGCCTGCCGGGCTGGGCCACCCCGTGCACCCGAGAGTCGGCGGCGAGCGAGGGGGGGGAACGAGAAAGAGAGGGCCTTCCCAGAAGGCGGCGGGACTTCTCAGCAGCCCTCGCGCCGTCAGAAGAGCTTTTTGCTGGTCTTCGGGGAAGGCTCAGAACGCCTCTCAGAAGGCCGGGGGCTTCCGAGCCACCTCTGAGAAGGCCTCCCTCCTCCTTCGCACCTCCCCCCCCCCTCGCTCGCCGCCGAGAGAGGGCCTCCCTCCCCCGATGGTGGCCTCGCCGCCGGCCCACGGGCCCCCCCCTGGGCGGGAGCCTGGTCGCGGCTCCCTCGGCCTGCCTTGGCCGATGGGGCAAGGAGGAGAAGGAGGAGGAGGAGGAGGAGGAGGAGGAGGAGGAGAAGGAGGAGGAGGAGGATGGGGACGGGGAGGAGGAGGATGAAGGGAGAGGGGAGGGGGGAGGGGGAGGAAGAGGAGGAGGAGGAGGAGAGGGTAGGGGGAGGAGGAGAGGGGGGGAGGAGTAGGAGGAGAGGAGGAGGAGGAGGAGGAGGAGGAGGGGAGGAGAGGAGGAGGAGGAGGAGGATGGGAGGGAGGAGGCAGGAGGAGGGGATGAGGAGGAGAGGGAGGAGGAGGGGGAGGGGGAGGAGAGGGGGAGGGGGATGACGGAGGAGTTGGGAGGAGGAGGAGGAGGGATGAGGAGGAGGGTAGAGGAGGAGATTCGGAGCTGTAGGGAGGGAGGAGGGGTGGAGAGGAGGAGGAGTGGGAGGAGGAGGAGAGGAAGATGAGGAGGGGAGGAGGAGGAGGAGGAGGCTGCGGAGGAGGCAGGAGGAGGAGGAGAGGAGGAGGAGGAGGAGGAGGAGGAGAGTAGTAGAAGGAGGAGGAGGATGAGGAAGGGGGAGGGAGCTGGGCTGCATACGGGTCGGGCTCGCGCCTCGGTCCCGGCGGGGTCGGGCCAGGGAGTCCCGGCACTCCCTCGAGCGCGGCCGCACGCGGCGTCTGAACCTGCCGCGCCTGCCCTCCCTACCCTCCTCCCTCCCGCCCTCCCTCCTGCCCTCCTCCTCCTCCTCCCTCCTCCTCCTCCCTCCTCCTCCTCCCCTCCTCCTCCTACCCCCTCCTCCTCCTCCTCCTCTCCTCCTCCTCCTCCTCCTCCTCCTCCTCCTCCTCCTCCTCCAGCCAGGGACCGATTCCAGGGAGCCCCCACCTGCGTCCCTCCTGCGAAGACCCCGGGCCAGCTCGCGTACCTGCTTCTGGAACCCCGTCGAGCCTGAGCAGAGTCGGCGCCGAGCACCTGCATGGTCTGCTTCAGCACCTGGCGACGTCCGCGGAGGAAAAGATCCGCGGCGGCTGACCTGCCGATGCCTTGTCTTTGCTCCGATATTGTTTCTTACGTAGTGAAACGATCCAGACGGAAGTTTCTTCACCATCTTGGACTCCAGGGGGAGTCTGTTGGGCCCTGGTACAATCAAAATAATGATCCTGGGCGACAAAAGTATCCCCAGGAGGGGGTCAAGAGCGTAAGGGCCGAGTGAGAAACCCAAGGCATCGGAGGTCCGGATCTCTCTCTCTCTCTTTCTCTCACCTCGGCTGCATTTGAATTTGTACAAGCATGTGCATCCGTGTGTATTTGTACGTAACCGCTTGTTACAAGCCTCCTTCGTCACGGACAAATCTAGAGATCTGTCTGTCCCAAATTGTTGGCCCCTGGAGGACCTTTTCGTTCGCCGGGACCCGGTCCCTGGGACAAGTCCGAGAGGTCCAGGGGACCCGAACCACGAAACAAGATGACGTCGGATGTCTTCAGGCCCTCAACCTCGACAACAACATCTGCATCACATCGTGTCCCTCTCTCTCTCTCTCTTTCTCTTTCTTTACAAATGCAAGTAGATGTATAATCGACATGTGCACATACATGCATACATGCATAAACACATTTTCCCGCAAATAGTGCTTGCACTTAGGGGTGCTTGCCTGTCTTCTAAGGAACTGGGCCTTGTGGGCGGTCTGGCGGCGATGTTCCCGCCGTCGCCGCCTCGTCGCCGCCTCGTCGCCGCCTGTCGTGCGGACTGTGTTGGCGGTCTGGCGGCGACGTTCCCACCGTCGCCGCCCCGTCGCCGCCTCGTCGCCGCCTGTCGTCTGGGCCGTGTGGGCGGTCTGGCGCCCATGTTCCCGACGTCGCCGCCCCGTCGCCGCCTCGTCGCCGCCTGTCGTCTGGGCTGGTGTGGCGGTCTGGCGGCTATGTGGTTGCCGTCGCCGCCCCGTCGCCACCACACAGGTTGCTCCACATAGAGTGCTCCACATCGAGTGCACCACATAGATTACACAACATGGATTGTACAAGCTATGTTGCACCACGCAGGCTGCACTCATAGTGCGCCACGCATATTGCACCACATACGTCGCTCCACATAAATTGCACAACATAGGGTGCACCGAGTGCACCACTTGCATCGCACCACGTCAAATGCACAAAACAACTTGCACCACATACGTTACACCACGTGTATTGCAACACATAGAGCGAGTGCGCAACATAAATTGCACCACACATGATTGACGACATACATTGCGTCACATAGGTTGCACAACATACATTGTACAACACGACTTGCACCACGTGTATTCTCCTTTTTAAACAATAATAGGATCTCCCCCCACTCCTTCCCTGGACTTAACGGATCCCCATTTCGTCTTGCAAATTAAGCATCTGACTCTGCCCCATCGTCCATCATAATTGTGAATTCGTAGCATCCCAGCCAAACCTGTCATAACCCCCTCATCCTTTGCAACGAATACTATGTGCGCGCACTCGTTTATGACAAATCATAGGTTTTCAATAATCCCTTGCGACAAACGGGAGTGCACACGCGCGCGTCTCGCGTGCGCATGCCGAAATCCTTCAACAAACTCAGGTTTGGTAGTGGGGACTTCAAAATCGAGTGTCTCGAGCACATTTGAAACCACATGGTTTCACGACAATCATTTTCAACAAGCCTGTGTTCGCTCTCTTGCAGATCCTAAAGCAAATCGTCTGTTTTGAGGATTTTCATCCAATGGTACCGAACGTGCCTCTCTCGCGCGCGCGTCGAAATTGCAAGAACGCCCTTGCGAGCGTGCTGTCGCAAGAACCCCTTGCAACAGACGGGACGAAATGCACACGCGCGAGCGTCGTCGCGCGTGCATGCGGAAATCGTTCGCACAACAACCTTAGATTTCGTAGGGGCTTCAAAATCAAGTGTCCCGGAAACATATAAACACACACGTTTTCCAACGCCAAGTTTCATACACGCCTGCGCTCGCGGTCTCGCGATTTCTTCAGAACACCGTCGTTTTTTGTTGTTAGTTTCTTGTTTTTTGTCTTCGCCATTTTCATTGAATTCTGCCAAACGGGCCTCTCGCGCTGCATGTCGAAATCATTCGAACGCCCTTGCGCAGGGAAAGGTGCCAGAACACGGGCTGCCCGCCGCTCACGTGGCTCGCGGCCTGGGCACCCTGCGCTGCTCCGCCCCTCACCTCGAGGGGGACGAACCAGAACTGGCTGAGCTGAGCGCACCAAGACTGACAGCAGGACCCTGGAGGGGGAGCTGCGTGCGGGGCAGCCGCGCAGCCAGTGCAGGACCTGCCGGGCAGGCGGGGCACAGGGTTGGAGCAGTGGCGCCACCGACGCGCGCGAGCGCACCACGCGATACTGGCGCGCGCTCCAGCCGGCCTCGGGGAGCTGGCGTGTCGAGCGCACGGAACTGGCTGCCCCGTCTCTCTCACGGAGATCTCCGCGTTCTCTCTGGACGAGCCAGAAGCGGCATAGGCATCAACTTTTGGAGGTCCGCGCGGGTTTTGTGCATCTGCGCTGGACCCCCCCTCCCTGGTGCGCGGAGTGCGCGGGGGGCGGCGCCTGTGGTGCCGCCAGGGGGGCCCAGCGCGGTTCCGAGCAACCCGCGCGGAGCTCCCAAGATTTATGTCTGTGCCGCTTTGTCATGGTCGGATGGAGATTTAGGTCGGGCATGTCCTCCTGCAGGCGGACCTGGGGCACAACACAAAACATGGCTAACACGTGCTCAAACCGACTGCACAAATACCTGAAGCATCGCCCCCAGACATTTTCTTGGACTATCTTTTGGGAGGTCCCTCCTGTAGAGGGACAGGCCCGACTTCAACGGAGATCTCCCTCCTCTCTCGTTAAAGGCTTAACGACTTCTGCCGTCCTTCGACTCGCGCTGGAGCGGCCGCGAAGTGCTCGAACTTTCCCTAGAGATCTCTGGATTTACCTGGATTTACCCAGATTTATCTAGATTTACCTGGATTGACCTGGATTTACCTCGACTTATCTGCATTTACCTGGGTTTATCTGGCTCGATTCTCACAAGTCGATTGGCGAAAAGTCGACAAGCCCTTAGGGACTCTCGTCGAGGCGCCCCAGCGCCTCCCGCCGGGACGGTGGCGGCCCGCGCTGCCGGGCACTCGCGCGCACCGGGCTCGGCGCGTGCCCCTCTGCGCCCTCTGCGGCGAGCGCGGGCGAGGAGGCGAGGGGGCGCAGGCCCCCCGCTCGGCGGCCAGCGGGACTTCTGCATGGGACTATAAAGGGAAATTAGGACACACAAATAAATACACACAAATAAAAATATCCCCCATATTTTCCCATATTTTCTGGGTTCTTGTCTTCCCCCCCACTTCCCATATTTTCCCATATTTTCTGGGGAATCGACGATTAATTGTGTCTGTGTGTTTCTTTCCCTCCTAAGACTAGTCGTCGACGACGTCGTCGTCGTCGTCGTCGTCGTCGTCGTCTGCATGGAGGCGGGGCGGCGTTGGGCCTGCCGCCGGCCCTGAGATCCGACGTCGCGAAGATCTGCGGCGTCGTGGAAGATCACGGCCAGGGCCATCGATCCCATATGTGTGCCTCCCAGATGGGGTCCGAATCGATGGGGTCGGAGGATTGCCGATGCATCGCCGATGCATTGGCGACGTCGGCGATGTGTCGGCGACGTTGGTGCGGAGAAAATCGGGCTCCACATCGAGCCGCATCGCCAGTGCATCGGCGATGCGGCGCGATCCTCCGATCCCGTCTACTTCGACCCCCTCCGACCCCATCTGGGAGGCCTAGACCATCTCTGTGCGGTATCTCTCGGGCCGGATCGATCTGTGAGGGTTCCTCAAAAGACCGAGGCTGGGCGAAAACGTCGGGTGCGGACAGGAGGTGTCACGCGCCGGGAGAATCATGGGGGACTAGGGGCAGTAGGGCCCCCCCTGACATCGGCCGGTACACACACACACACATATATATATATATATATATATATATATATTAAATAAATACATATGTGTGTATATCAACATGTGTGTATAACATGTGCCGCCGTCGCGTCGCCGCCGCCGCTATCATGTCCCTTCCTTCCCCTGAGTATGTCGCCGCTCCCCCCCTTTCCTTGGGCCCTCGTTCTCAAGCACGCCAGCCACAGCGAAATACACCATCCCATCCACAGCGAAATGAAGCAACGTTGTCATTGAGTCGATGAGAAGCCCCTTCCCTTTGATCCCTTCCAGGGGGGGGGGGTCCTGGGGGGTGGACCGGGGGGGGGTCCCGGGGGGTGGTCTCGGAGGGTGGTCCCGGGTCAGAATACCACCCTCCTGGCCCGCCCTCTCCCTCCCATTTCCGTCGAGGTCCGAGGCCTCCAGGGTCGGCGGCACCGGCAGTAAGGCCTTCGCAATATGTGGAACTATCGCGCGCGCGCGCTTTGGTTCTAGCTGGTCGAGTGCTGACCGCATTGAGACAATAAAGCGGTCATGAATAATGATATCAACATTATCTGTTACCTCCTGCCTCTTCCTCATTCCTCCTCTTCCGCTCTTATCGACCGGTCGACCGGTGATCTGTCGCCAAACTTCTTGGGGACCTCTTGAACCCTCCTGGGGGTCTCCTGGGGCGAAGATCTCGGGTTCTGGGTTCACGTTCCCGATAGTGGCCTTCGGCCCATTCCGCCACTGTGCCTGGGTTGTGGGTTAGAGGCCTCTTGAAAGTTCGTTTGGAATTTGTGGGAGGCTTCCTGGGGGCCTCTTGAAGGCAGTTTTGGAGGCCTCTTGGGGGCCGTTTGGGGTGCTCGTGGGGCGTCCTTTTGGGCCCCTTTGGGGCCTCGTGGGGCCTCTCAGGAGCCTCTTGGGCTATGTTGAGGGCCTCTTGGGGCCTCCTGGAAACCTCTTAGGGCGGAAGGCTCGTTTTGTCGGTTCGTGTTCCCCCTCTTGGGACTCCCGCCTGCACCCCTGGGCTTCGCCCACTCTGGCCGCCTGAGGCCCCGCCTTCCTGTGCCCTGTCTCCCTAATTAAAGCTGTGCATAGCCCGCCTAGCTTTTAGCGGAAGAGGTTCGCTCTCGCCCCGCAGATCAAAAAGTGTTTCCCCTCTTGGGCCCCTCTTGGGGCCGTCTGGGGGCCCTCTTGGGCGATCTTGGGCGCCTCTTGGGCCGTCTTGGCGCACTCTTGGGCCGTCTTGGGACTCTCTTGCGCCGTCGTGGCGCCCTCTTTGGGTGTCTCTTGGGCCGTCTTGAGGTAATTTCTGGGGCCTCGTGGACTGTCTTGGACCGTCGGAAGCACGAAACAGAGAGAACACGAAAAACCTTCAAAAACCATAGAAACATCAGACTTATTTCGCCTCCTGAGTGTCTCGTGGGAATCCTGTTGAAGGCATCTTGGCCGTCTTGCAGCCCTCTTGGGCTGTCTTCAAGCCATGTTGGACCAATTTGAAACGCTCTTGTGCGGTCTTGGGCTCTCTTGGAGCGCTCTTGGGCCATCTTGGCGCCCTCTTGGACGTCTCTCGGCCCCCTTTGACGTTTCTTGGCGCCCCCCACTGGGCCCGAAACGGCCAGAAGACAACTCAGTGCAGTTTTGGGGCCCTGGGACCTCCCTACCCATATATATATATATATATATATATATAGATGTGTGTGTGTGTGTGTGTGTGTGTGTGTGCGTGTATATGTATTGACACCTGTGCACATGCATGTATGTATGCATGTCTACCTGTCTGTATGTATGCATGTACGTAGATATGTACGCATGCATGTACACATGTACCTATGTATGCATATATGCATATATGCATGTATATATGCATGCATGCATGCATGCATGTATGTATGTATGCACGCATGCATGTGTGTAGGTATGTACGTATGTACGTATGTATGTATGTATGTATGGATGCATGCATGTACATGTATTGAACTCGCAACCCCGATAATACATACGTATATATATATATGTATTCAACTCGCAACCTCGAGAATGGTCCCGGCCACTTCTCAGGAGGTAGTGTTCCGCTCTGGCCCTCATTTTTGACCGTCCAAGGGCCCGAAGGCGGGCCCCCGGAGGCCGAGGCCCATAACATACCCGTGGGAAGAACGTCTCGTCGGAGATCTGGACACTCCCCCACCCTCCTCCTCCTCCTCCTCCTCCTCCTCCTCCTCATCCTGCTCCTCCTCTTCGTCGTCGTCCTCCTCCTCTTCCTCATCCTCGACCCAGCCGCCGCCGCCACTTCCCCTCCGCATCCCCGAGCAGGGCGGCCCCGACCTCTGCGCGGCGCCCCTCGACCTCTGCGCGGCGCCCCTTTCCCCCCCGTGGCCCGCTCCCCCCTCCGTCGCCGCCCCCTAAGAGGCGATTTGCCGCCTTCTCCTTCTCCTCCTCCTCCTCCTCCTCCTCCTCCTCCACCTCCGCCTCCTCCGCCTCCCCCTCCTCCGCCTCCTCCTCTTCTTCCTCCTCCTCCTCCTCCTCCTCATCCCCCTCCTCCGCCTCCTCCGCGCCCGCCTGGTCCGCCAGGCCGCGCTGGCCCGAGCCCAGGTGGTCGAGGTACAGCGCGAGCATGGACGTGACGAGCCGCCTGTCCACGCGGTACCCTCCCTCTCTTTTGTTGTTGCTGCTGCTGTCGTTGGCGTTGTCGATGTTGCTGTTGTTGTTGATGTTGTTGTTGTTGTTGTTGTTGTTGTTGTTGTTGTTGTTGTTGTTGTTGTTGTTGTTGTCGCTGTTGTTGTTGTTGTCGTTGTTGTCGTTGTTGTCGCTGTTGTTGTGATTGTCGTTGTTGTTGTGCTTGTTGCTGTGATGGCTGTGATTGCTACTGTTGTTGTTGCTGTTGTTGTGGTTTTGGTTGCTGTGGTTGTGGTTGTTCATTTCTATTGTGCTTGTTGTTGTGGTTGCTGTGATTGTTGTTGTTGTTGCTGCTGTTGCTGTGGTTGTTTTTGTGGTTGTGGTTGTGGTTGTGGTTGTTGTTGTTGTTCATGTTTTTGGTGGTTGTTATTGTTGTTGCTGTTGTTGTGATTGTTGTTGTCGTTGTGATTCCTGTGATTGTTGTTGCTGTTGCTGTTGTTGTTGTGGCTGTGGCTATGGTTCTTGTTGTTGTTGTTATTGTTGTTGTTGTTGTTGTTGATATTGTTGTTGTGATTGCTGTGTTTGTTGTTGCTGTTGCTGTTGTTCTTGTTGTTGCTGTTGTTGTTATGGTTGTGATTGCGATTGTGGTTGTGGTTGTGGTTGTGGTTGTGGTTGCTGTTGTTGTTATTGTTGCTATTGCTGTTGCTGTTGCTGTTGCTGTTCCTGTTGCTGCTGCCGTTGCTGCTGTTGCTTTTGCAACGCAGCGCTCCGGTGCAGCAGACGGCACCGCCACGCTAGACGCCGCGCCCGTGCGTGCCGCCCCCTTCTTCCCCCTCGCCCCAGACGTGCTCCCCGGACGTGCTGGCGTCGCGGCAGCACGCGCGCGGGGGAATACTCGGCCGCCTCTGGCCGCCGGGGGCCCCCGCTGGGCTCCCAGAACGAGGCAAAGGACGGCTCGGAATCAAAAGCGGGCCCCGGAGGCCCAAAAGAGGCCCCGGAACAGGCCCCAACACGCTGCAACATTGCCTCCAGGAGGCTCCGCCAGGCCCCCAAACAGCTCCCAGGATGCCCGCAAGACAATGAACCACAGAACCGAACCACGAACCACAGAACCGAACCGACCGAGGGAGAACCGACGGAACCGGAACCCGTCAGAAACCCGACGTCTATCTAGGGACTCTTGCCAAGAGTCCCTGCCTCAACCGCGGACCCCCCGCCTCTTTTGGGGGTCAGCGGAATGGTGTAAGCCTCTTGAATAAAAAAACAGCCCTGGGGAAAGGGTATAGATTTCCGGGCACTCCGCATGGACAAAAAATAATACATCGGATGTCTGGGTCTGGATCCTTCCTCCCTTCCCCCTCGCCCTCCCCCTCCCCCCCCCTCCTCGTCCCTGTCCTCCTTGTCCTCCTTGTGCTCCTTGTCCTCCTCGCCCTCCTCCCTTTCTTCCTCCCGCCCCTCCCTGTCCCCGTTCCCGTTCTCCTCTCCTCGTCTCCGCCCTCGCCCTCGCCCTCCTCCGCCGTCGTCCCCGTCCAGCCGCCCTCCTCCTCGTCGTCGTTTCCCCCTCCTCCTCCAGCCGCCTCCTCCTCCTCCTTCTCCTCGTCCGCTTCTTCCTCCTATTTCTCCTCCTGCCTCCCTCCCTCGCCCCCGAGGCCCGCGGCGGCGGCGAGCTGCCTGTCCACGTAGTGCTCCCTCTCGTCCAGGTGCCGGCTCTTCTCCTCGCAAAGAGGGTCATGAGGAGGAGGAGGAGGAGGAGGAGGAGGAGGAGGAGGAGGAGGAGAAGGAGGAGGAGCAGGAAGATGAGGAGGAGGCGGAGGAGGAGGAGAAGGAGGGAGGAGGAGGATGAGAAGGAAGGAGGAGGAGGAGGAGGAGGAGGAGGGGAGGAGGAGGAGGAGGAGGAGGGAGGAGGAGGAGAGGGAGGAGCAGGAGGAGGAGGAAGGAGGAGGAGGGGGAGGAAGGAGGAGGAAAGGAGAAGGATGTTTCAGGAGGACGAGGAGAGATAAGGAGGAGGAGAGAGGAGGAGGAGGATGAGTAGGAGGACCAGGAGCAGCAACTGCATCAAGGTGTGTCGCCTGCAGCCGCTCAAATCAGCTGACTGCCGCGCTGGAACGGGAAGCGTGCGCAACAGTGTTCGCATGGCGCGCTTCTGATATGAAAGCGGGCGGCCCCTTCGCACGCGAGAACTCGCCCTCACCAATCCCAGAAAGATGTTTGCGGCCCTTGCAAATCATGCCGTTACATTTTTCGCACGATGATGATGGTGATGCTAATGATGACGATGCTGATGATGACGCTGCTGATGATGATGATGTCTATGATGATGGTGATGATGACGATGGTGACGGTGACGTCAATACTCCTGATGATGATGACGATCATGATGCTGCTGCTGCTGAAGATGACGATTATGATGATTCTGTTGATGGCGCAGCTGATGCTAATGAAGACGATGACGATGACTATGAATATGGCGATGCTGATGATGATGACGATGATATTAGTGATGGTGACGATGATCATCATGATTTTGTTGATGCTGCTGCTGCTGCTGCTCATGATGATGACGATGACGATGGCGATGCTGCTGCTGATGTTGATGAGGAGGATGTTCCTGTTGATGATTGTGATTGTGATGATGATGGGTGATCATGAACATGATCATGCTGATGATGCTGAGGAATGATGGTGATCATGATGCTGATGCTGCTGATAATAATGTTCATGATGATGACGATGATGCTGATGCTGTTGATGATGCTGATGCTGCTGCTGATGATGAGGACGAAGCTGATGATGATGCGTATGACGATGATGATGATGCTGATGGAGATGATTATTCTGATGATGATGATGATGATGATTATGATGGCGATGCTGATGCTGCTGATGATGCTGATGATGATTGTGATTCTGATTATGATGATGACGATGACGATCATGATGCTGATGATGGATATGATGGTGATGCTGATGTTGTTGATGATACTGATGGTGATTACGATGATGATGCTGATGACGATGATGCGGCTGATTATGATGACGAAGAAGAAGATGATGATGATCATGATGATGATAAGCATGGTAATGGTGATGGTGATGATGTTTATGCTGATACTGATGCTGATGCTGATGATGCTGATGCTGATGCTGATGCTGATGATGATGACGATGATGATGATGATGATGATGATGATGATGATGATGATGATGATGATGATGATGATGATGATGATGATGATGATGTTGATGTGATGATGATTGATGATGATGATGATTGATGATGATGATGATGATGATGTGGATGGTGGTGGTGGTGGTGGTGGTGGTGGTGGTGGTGAGGGAGAGGATTATTGCCTAATATCAGCCAGGGTGGAGTCCGCACGGTGGCACCACTATCAAATATATGAGAGAGCGTGATCCACCGCCGCTTTACTGTGGAAAATTGCCGCCCTTTTCCTCCGGAACCCGGGGGTCCCCCCCCCTCCCGGGAAAATCTCCCCCCCCCCCCTTCCCCCTTCCCCCGGCAAAACCCCCCCCCTCCCCTAACCCCCCCCCCCTCGAACTCGAAAACCGGGGGGGGTCACTACCGGTTCGAACCCCCCCCCCCTCGAAAACCGGAGGGGGGGTCACTACCGGTTCGAACCCCTCCCCACCCCCCCCTCTCACCGCCAGCAAACGACTCCCGGTCCCTACCACCGTCCTCACCACATCCCCCACTGTTGTTCCCAGCGCCACTGTCCTCACCACCACTGTCCCCACTGGTTCCACCACCGCCCCTACTGTCCCCACCAGTGCCACCACCACTGTCGCACTGTCCCCCACTGTCCCCACCACTGTTCCCACCACGGTTTCACTCTCCCAACTTTCTCCACTACTATCCCCACTGTCCCCACTGTCCCACTGACTCCTCCGCTGTCCCACTGAGCTGTCCCACTGTTCCCACCACTGTCCCCACTGTCCCCACTACTGTCCCCACTGTACCTCTGTCCCATTTTCCCACCGCCGTGCTCGCCACCGCCTTCACCACTGTCCCCACCACCACTGTACCCTCCACTGTCCCACTGTTTCCACCACATTCCCACTGTCCCCACACCGCTGTCCCCACCACCACCGTCCCCACCACTGTCCCACTGCCCCCACTGTTCCCACAATTGTCCTCACCATTGTCCCCACCACTACCGTCCCCACCACTGTCCCACTGTCCCCACCACTGTCCCGTTGTCCCCTCACCACTGTCCCCACCACCACCGTCCCCACCACTGTCCGCACCACCCCTCGGTTTTCGAGGGGGGGGGGGGAGGGGGGGGGTTCGAACCGGTAGTGACCCCCCCCCAGTTTTCGAGTTCGAGGGGGGGGGGGGGTTCGAACCGGTAGTGACCCCCCCCTTTTCATGATGAACTGGGGGGTGGGGGGGGGAGGGGTTCGAACCGGTAGTGACCCCCCCCGGTTTTCCAAAGGGGGGGGGGGGTGTTCGAACCGGTAGTGACCCTCCCCCAGTTTTCCGCCAGCAGCGGTAGAACACGCTCTTTCAAATATATAGGTGCAGTCGCCAAAAAGTTGCAAGAAGCAGATCCCCTGGGACGACCCAGGCGGATCTAGACTGTGGGAAGCGGGACCCGCTGCCCACACGGGAGTCGACCCCGATCACGGGATCAATCGTCCTTAGAGCCCGCGCGTACGTAGACAAAACGTATCACCCCGCAGTTGTGGATACGAGTGAGGGGGCTGCGGAGACGTCGGCCGTCTGCGAGGTTCTGAAGAAGCCCGGCGCAAGCGCCTCATTTTTACTAATTATGCAGCGAGCCCGCCGCAAGCGCTATTTCTTTCGTTAAAACAATGTGGGTGGGTCCCGGGCCGGGTCGCGGGATGGGTCGCGGGTTGGTCGCGGGTGGGCCGCGGGTGGGTCGTGGGCCGGGTCGCGGGTGGGTCGCGGGTGGATCGCGGGTGGGTCGCGGGCGGGTCGAGGAGTGGGTCGCGGGTGGGTCGTGAGCTGGGTCGCGGGTGGGTAGCAGCTGGGTCGCGGATGGGTCGAGGGTGGGTCGCGGGCGGGTCGCGGGGTGGGTCGCGGGTGGGTTGGGGGTGGGTCGCGGGGTGCGCTGCAGGTGGGTCGCGGGCGGGTCGCGGGCGGGTCGCGGGGTGGGTCGCGGGGGGGTCGCGGGCGGGGTCGCGGGGAGGACGGCGACAACAAACAACGAACAACAAACAACACAGAACAAACGGAAAACACCATCACCACCACCAACAACACCAATAACAACCACACAAACAGCACAAACAGCAACAACACCAACAATACCGTCAACACCAACAACAACACCACCACCACACACAACAACAACAACAACAACAACAACAGCAACAGCAACAGCAACAGCAACAGCAACAGCAACAACAACACCAACAACACCAACAACAACAACAACAACAACAACAACAACAACAACAACAACAACAACTACTAGCACGTGGGGACACTCCGTTCTCACCAGTGCCAGGGTTTTTTTTTTCTACGACGCCCGCCAATACCCCCACTTTGTGGGGGGGCCGGTTCAAGCTCTACCACATTTCCAAACGACTCTTCGCCACCCCCCACACCCAGCTTACCGCCCTATGACGTTCGGACACTTCACTTCGTGGCCTGCGGACGACCGTGGCTACTACACTGGCGCATGGGTACAGTGACTTGTTGTGGTAACATGCGACGACGACGACGACGACGACGACGCGACACGCGCGCATGTGTCCCGCATGGTATGTTTTGCAAGGGATTGTGGCCCCTGGCAGGCGCGCGAACGCCGTTGAAAGAGCTTGCGAAAGTAGCTCGCGCGAGCTCATGTAACATAAATGTTGAAAAACCATTGGTTTTTTAGGATTCGGACAGCGCGCGCGGGTAGAAATTTTGAAAATTCGTACAGATGTTTTTCGAGGACCTACGGTGCGATTCGTATGATTTTATGTTGCGCGGTGCTAAAATTCCTAAGAAACCCAATGGTTTTTGAAGATTTCGGCGTGCGCGCGCGAAGAAAAAACGAATGTGTCCCGCATGGTATTATTTGACAGGGATGATGGCCCTGGCAGGTGCGCAACCGTTGTTGGAGAAGTTCGAAGCACGTGAAAAAGTTGCTCGCAAAAGCCCGTTTGACAGAAATGTTTAAAAAGTGTTGGGTTTCCTACAAATCCGCAAGAGCGCGCGGGATGAAATTTTGACACTTTTTTTTTTTTTTTTTTTTTTTTTTTTTTTTTTTTTTTTTTTTTTTTTTTTTTTTATAAAAAAAAAACCATTGGTTTTTTTTTGGATGTTTTTATGTTGAAATCGTTAGGAACACTAAGGTTTCGGAAGGATTTCGTCTTGCGCGCGCGAATGTCCACTTTACCTTATTTTTTGCAAGGGATTCTTGAAGTTTGGTTATGTTAGAACAAGAAATGTCCACTTTGCCTTATTTTTTGCAAGGGAAAACCGCCCGTAACAAAACAACCGGATCCGGACCAACCCGTTTTGCCGGAGACTTCCTCACGAAAACGATGAAAACATGGCTGCGGCCTAGGCGCGGCGAGGGGGCCGTGCACCAGGGGTCCCAACAATAGTTATTCTTTAGAAGTAATCATGTTCAACAACAACAACAACACCGCAAACAGCAACAACAACGATCCGCACTGCAGAATCTCACTTCACCCACGCGGCCAGGGACAGTGAATGACCGTTCGGCCCCCTCACTCT